TTGAAGCCACTCCAAATCCTACACTTCCTTGAGAAGATATAATTGAAAGGGTCGTTATAGGCATTGAGACATTTAATTGCTGCATTAGCGACAGAAGGGGGCACAATAGATATTTTAGGTCGCAGTGTATTAACACCCCATTCCCAACATAACATAGCGAGAAAACTGCAAAATAATGAAATCCACAAATCCCAGTTCATATTTTGGACATCCAACTACTATTATTTTTAAAATTTTAAATTCTGACAAACTGTCAGTATATTTTTTAGTCATTAAGATTACATATACGTTAAAATTAGTTATTTTTGTTTAGAATCGATAAAAAATAACATTTTAATTTTATTTGGGCCACATTTAAAAAAGTAAATTTTAATCAAATTGTATGAAACTAATTTAATTACGAGTATTAAAATTAAAAACCTAAAAGTGGCGGTGGAGCTGAGGACAGAGCATTTGCCTTCCACGCGAATAACCTGGGTTCGAATCTGGACTATAGGGGCTAATTTTTTTTATGTTTTTTATTTTATAAATTAATAAAATTTATAAATTATTTTAAAATGGCTTATTTTGTCTAAATCTAAAATAATTTTTTAAATTTGTAGATTTTCGTTAGTAGTTCGTAGAAAAAATATACTGCACAACTCGAGTGGATTGTCCATATCTACTCTTGTTGCGAAAATTTTTGTGATGAAAATTATTGTGATGAAAATTATTCAGTTTTTTCACTTATATATGATATTTTATTCATTTTCATAGATTCGCCAGAATTTTTTTACTTAATTTCAGTATACCTCTAGAACTATTATATATTATATGACTAGGGTTAGGGCTTTAGCCCCCCCAAATCTGATGACATAACTTCGCCCATGTTTAGCCATTTTATTTGAAGATATTGTTGTATTTAAGTTAAAGATATATTGGTCTTTCTCATACATGTCAACAAATGATTGACTAGATTGAGAAGTAGCCTCTTAATGGTCAAATTAAACTATAGAATAGATTAATTCATTAATCTGCATTACATAATACTTATAATTTACTTTTACAGACCTGCATTCTCACAGCTTTATTGAGCATTTCGATAATAGAGTAAAAGGGCTTTTTTGTAGGTATGTTATGTTTATATAACTGCATGTTTTATCATTTTTGTTTAAAATATTGTTTGTGTTACTTACATATGAAAAATATATAATGCTGGGTTCTGCAAAATATGAAAAACACTAACAGGATATGATTAATTATGTTTTCTATTTTATTAATTGCTCACCCAAGCGTTTTGACTTGTACTCCAGTAGTGTGTAACAAAATAAAAGATAAGACTGTTTAAATATACAATTTTAACCCGGCGACAGTGGTGGAAATTTTGATAAGGGCCTGTGTGGTGGGGTATTACATACCCCAAAAGCAAAAAACAAAAAAATCATACATTATTATTTTTTTGATGTTTTTTATTTTTTTTTTGGGTTATTTAGGCAGTATTGAATAAGGAATTATTTTTAAAAAGATGTTTATTAAGAAAGAACATCATAAAAAAACATAATTCATAAATACGGCATTTTCAACAAAAAAAAATCACTCAGATCAATAACATAGTCTAAGTATTAGAAAAATAAAGAAATAATAACAAAAATATAGTTTTCTTACAGTAAAAATATAAGTCAAACCACTAAAAGAAACAAAGTTGAGTTTATTCATTTCTGCTGATGCCTCAGGCGTCGCAAAAAACTACTGAATGCTCCATACAATTTGCCTTCTTACAGCCAGCACAGCTATAGAACGTCTTCCTCTTTTTTCCTTAAGCATATTTCGCACCTGGTAGATACTCTACGCCTTTTTCCAGGTTGTTCTTCATTTTCTGGTAGAGGCCCTTTTGTTTGTAATTCACGCGGAAGCCGTTTATTGGTTTATCTGCGTTCCTTGTGCTCAGTCAATAACTGAATTGCTAAGGTTTTCAAAAATGTTCTTCTTTTCATAGCAGTATTGCCATTGTTTAAATTAAAAATAATTCTAGCGTTTATTCCTGCGCAGTTGAGAATAGCGTAGAAAAGAGTCAGTGGCCATCTTTTACTATTGCGTGATACGTCATATGCGGCTGATAGCTCGTCGACAATATCAACGCCACCCTTGGTCGCATTTTAAAAGGTCATAATTTCTGGTTTTCTCTTTTCACCAGTTTCTTCATCAATTTCTGGAGTATGATGCAAAGTGGACATGAGAAGAACCACCTTTCCTTTTTTGGGAACATTTGATACTAAGGTTACGTCTTTCTGGAAGCCGAATTTCGAAGAACATTCCGGTCTATCTTTAGACATAAGAAAGCTCGCAGGTATCTGTTTTTTATTTTTTCTAATAGTTCCAACTGACGTTAGCTGATGTTCTTGTAAAAGCCGCAGCATAAGCTCGTAACTGGTGAACCACTTGTCGAATGTTACATTCCGTTTTGTACCGGAAATAGGAGCTATTAGTCTAAGGACGACATCAGTAGGTTTGGAGCTTAACTGAAATGGTCCTTCTGGTTGTTAACCAAAGTATAATTCTAAATTAAGGACGTAGTAGGGCTTTGCATCTACTAGAGCAAATACTTTCAACCCATAGCGAGCCGGCTTATTTGGCATGTACTGTCTAAAAGCACAGCGCCCCCTAAAAGCTTCTAGCTTTTCATCTATAGTAGATACATCGCTAGGTGTATACAAATTTTGAGAGTTATGTACGAATTGATCAAAAACTGCCCTAATCGCAGCCATTTTGTCAATTTTTCTTCTTTCTTCTCGGTTTTCTATATTGTCGAATGTCGAAACGTAAACAGGCCTGCAGAAAGATAAACCTTTATAGAGACATTGTTTCTCTAAACAAACTTATCCCCGTACCATCTGTTGACCATAGATCTTCCAAGATTAAGTCTAGCAGATTTGAATACTCCTGACAAATAAAGTAGGCCAAACAATGCTCTTATCTCACACGCATCTGTTTCCTTGACAATATATTGATTATTTTCGTCATAAGAGGCAGATTTCCTTCTTATTTTTACATTTGTCAACATGACGATATCATTTATCATATCTGGAGTAATAAGTAAATCGAAGCACTCAACTGGAGTTTTAGCGTCTTTAGCCATTCTTTTTACCCCGGGCAAATGGGTGATAATATTTTCAGAGCGGGTCCTTACATTTTTAGGGAAATGATTTGCAGACCATCTGGTACCATCCTTTCCTAGATACAATCTTGAGCTTGCTTCATTTTGTCCACTTTGTGATTCTTCATTCTGATTGACTATTTGGATATCTTCTCCCTCTGATTTTTGATCATCTTCTACGTCTTCATTTTCAGTACCAATCTGGCCATCATCTGCGTCTTCTTCGCTTTCAGAACTGTGATTGCTGAGCTCTTCATGGTCAGATTCTTCGTCACTCTCTGAGCCAATAGCAACTTCTTCTTCTTGAATGTCTTGCCACATAGACAATAGTCGCTTCTGTTCGCGCTCATAAGAACCAGCCATGATAAAACTAAAACAAAAATGTATTATTTAATATGTGTACATACATAGAAAAAAAATTATTTCTAAATTTCTATCCAAAAAACTATAAGTTTTTCAATCAAGAGTAAAAAGTTTCTTTGTGTATCCATACCAAAGAACAAAAAAAAAACATTAAATTTTATGTAAAAAGGTCATGTTTCATTTTAAAATCAAAATAGGCAAAAATATTAGTCCAAAATACTCAAAAAAAATTACAAAATTGTGCCCTCATGTGCAAAAAATTCTGTTCATCTATGAAAAAAATATTCACTTACCTGTGTGGTGGGGTATGTGATGCCCCAAGCGTGTTCCAGCGCTAATAGCTTCCCGTGTAGACGCCGGTGGCTCACCGCTGACTGAAACTGCAACTAGGATGTTTAAACGGAAGGTACTGGGGCCCAATTCCTGACGCCTTCGTTAACTTATCGCATGCGATAACGTATGCGACTTGATGAAAGTGTATTCCTGAACTGACGGCATTCGTCAAATTTATTAACGCATGCGCTAAAAAATGGTGATTTTCAAAGAGCGCTCATGACCGTTCGACAACTACTTTGTCGCATTCGTTAAGGTGAAAGTAAGGTTATAAACAAAGGGTTGTCTCCACATACTTTGATTTTCTTTTGTATGTGGTTGTCTCTGTTATAATTGTCAATTAATCCTGCTTTATTATAGGAGTTTTACAGGCACTAAACAATGTTATAAATTCTACTAAAGTTTCACGCTGTTTTTCCGTTATTCGTGAACCACGCTGTTCCATTTTTAATATTCTAAATCTAAACCACTCCAATTCTCAAGTCCAAAATACAAATAATCACAGTTAAAACATCCAAAAACCAAAAATTATTAGACATCTGCAATCCATTTAATTTTATAAGTTTTGCATTTTTGGCAATTTTGACATATGTCAATGCAATTATCTCATATTCAGTGATTCCATCTTTGGTATTCTCAATCCTCATTGGTTAAGACTATGCAATAATCAAAGACTCTTCGTTAACACGTTCGACTTGATTCGCGATTATCGCATGGTGTTCAGGAATACTAAATTGCTGTCGTATGCGTTAACGACCATGCGTTACTTAGCGCATGCGGCAGTTAACGCATGTTTCGAGAATTGGGCCCCTGAAGGCCACGCGGCAACAGTATACGGATTCGCTGAATGGCGCGCTATTTAAACTGTGTGGGGTAAGTGATACCCCACCACACCGTCGCCGGGTTAAATACCCGATTCTCGAAAATAAAAAATTCTTAAAATATTACAACTTATTTCTATTATATTTGAAAAATATAGATTTTAAACGCTTTTTTTTATGCATATGCTCACTTTGACATTGACATTAAAAAAACGTTAAAATTAGTTAATTCATATTTTATTTGGAAGTAAAAAATCAAATAAATAATTGTAATAATGTAATAATTGTAATATTTGTAATTACTTCCTACATTAAGATACCCAAAATCATAATAAAATATATTTTCTTACCTCATACAGCAGTAGAAGATATGGAATATCTAATTTATTTACATAATTGTTTAACAACAATATACATTTTGACATCAGTTCAACATTTTCTTCTCTCCAAGAAGGTACACACAAAAAATTAAGTACTTTTAAAATAGTACCATAATCTGAGGCACTTAATTTATTTGTTTTTAAAAAAACATCAACGACGTTAGTGTATTTTTTTAAAACTGGTGGAGTTAACATGTTGTGTAATTTATAAAGACATACAGATATGTTTGATAAATCTTCTATGGCTTTACATTTATCTGAAAAAATTATATTTACCTAGTATTCATGTAACAGGATAAATAATGAAAAAATAAGTAAATTATTTATAGTTAATATCTAAATATGAATAAGTAAAAATATTCAAAAAATAAAGTAAAATTCTAACAATATCTAAAAACAAAAATATAACTAAGAATATACCTAGGTATTCTTCAAATTTTAACTTATGACTCCTGGACCGTAACGAATAATTTTGTCTCGTTTCTTATATTAAAGAAACAATTATGACACAGGATGTCCCAAAATTCTGTGTACATAGAGCTGTTGACGTCACACATAATGTGGTAACGTTAAATGTGTAACTTTATATATGTCAAATTTAATTTAATTTAGGGATTTCTAAACCAAATTAGAATTTTAAGAAATTTTAGGATCTTTTGATTTTGTTATTTATTTAAAATGATGTCTCGAACAAAAGAAGAAATGTTCTATTTTGTGTTATATTTGTGTCGAAATATATTTCCATCTTTATGTTTTAATATCGATATGTTTAAATGTGTACCTTACCCTATGCTATGCTCGAAGACCTTACCATATAATCGACAAGGTTAGAAGTAGTTGTTATATGGCTTTGATAACATATGACGGCATGGAAGAAACCAAACTGTATAAATAAATGTTCTGGTAACTATAGGATCTAGTAAGTTATGATGGTAAGCTTATAAAGAAATGCCTTAAGTTTACTATTACGATAATCATAGGTGTAGGTACGTTTAATTTAAAAAATAGAGGACGAAAACGAGACAAAATTCAGCCCAACCCAGATGATATTAAAAAAACTATAATAGTATACCTAAGTAGACCTTTAAAAAATGAAAGTAATTTGTAAATCACCTGTACGTTCTTATAAACAGTCCAACAACTTTTAAATTGCACAGATTTCACTCAGAATATAGATTATCAAGAAACCACGGTTTCTAACTAAAATACTTGTTATATAAAAAACATCTGGTTACGAGAAACCGTTAGGATTTAAGCTGTTACATACGTAGTTCTATATGTGTATACTGCATATTGTTCTTGAAGATAACCTAGACCCTAGACCATAAGGTACCACTAACAAAATTCTGCTCATTTTGGCCGACATGTTTATTTGTTGTAAAAATGTATATTTGGATTGATATTGAGAGATGTAACCTGAAATAATGAGTGCATTAAAATGTGCATAATCAGGACGAAGTGGCCAAAGTTTATTTAGCGTTAAAAATGACTAACTGATACGTATCCATATCGGGGACAATAGATTTTTGCGCAAATATCATTGGAAGAGTTTAACTTCACAATAAAGAAATTGTTGTGACTACCAAAGGGAGAGGATGAAAAAAAGTTTTAATGATGGTGCATATTAGTGTATTAAGAGTGGCTAACTTCACGGTAAAGAAATAACTATAACTACTAAAGGGAGGGGATGCAAAAAGTTTAATTGGTGGTGCATATCGTCGCCTTTCTCACGAAGTGGCATAAGTAGCAAATAGTAAATTTTACAGGAGAGCAATAAAACGAAAATACGCCTTCTCAGATTGACATAATATAGAGGGATTTAGAGTTTGCGCTTTCAAAATTTTATCATGGAATGCTAAGGCCTTGTTTTATTGTTTGGTAATTCCAGATTAACCAAACTCCCTGGGGAATTTTTAGAACAGTTCGTGAGGAAAATATTCTGCGTTATTGCAGATAGGACACAGCGTTCATCCCCCCCCTCCCCACAAAGAAATGGATGTAGTTTCTCAAGGAAGGTGGTGCAAAAAAATTATTAGTGGTGCATATTGGTGCATCACTAGTGCATTATATGGTGCAATAGTTTTTTTTTTTAAATATCATTGGGTGGGCCAACTTCACGCACCTCATTTTTTGTCTTTTGCAAAAAATATATATCTCTCAAGGTATTTCAGTAAAAAAAAATTATGGACACATGGTTAGTGACTTAAAATTTTCAAGAAAACTAAGTTGGTGGTTATAACTGTCGCAACCCGAACTCTGACTCTTTATACGTTATTACAATAAAAAAAATTATCAATAGGCATAGGTATCGACTGAAATAGTAGTTTGTGCAACAAGAGTGGATATGATGGCCATATCGCACAAAGACGAAATCGTCTGAGTGCGATGTTGACAATCCACTCGAGTTGTACAGTATATTTTTTCTACGACCCACTAACGAAAATTTACAAATAAAAAAATATTTTAGGTTATTAAGACAAAATAACTAATTTTAAAATAATTTATGACTCTTAATAATTTTTTAAATAAAATAAACAAAGAAATAAAGTTCATTTCATTTTTCCCATCCGAGAATCGAACTCGAGTCTTCCGTGTGGAAGGCAAGAGCGCTGACCACAAGACCACTATTCTTTTATTTTTGTTGCTTTAATACTCGTAATTAAATTGACTTCAATAGTTTTATTGAAATTAACTAATTATTTATAATTATAGACGAAATAAAAACAGAAATGCTATTATTTATCGATTCTACACAAGAATAACCCATTTTAATGTATGTTTAATCTCAATAACTAAAAAATATACTGACAATTAGTTTGACAGAATTGTTCTCACTACCTAGAATGGATATGAAATATATTCGTTCAGTTGTAGGCAATGGCATACGTTTTCGTTTTGTTATCTGTGCGTAGATAAGCTAATATCCATGTGGGTGTAGAAAAAATTACAATTCAAGCAGATTATTAGAGACTTCAAATTTTCAAGAAAACTAAGATGGCGGTTGTTAACATTACTAATAAAAAATTTGATAATTTTGACAGATATGATGTAGAACCGTAAAAATTGTTGATACTACTCATTTTATGTATTGTATTTTTTTGTTTTGCTTCAAAGTTCTTGTAAAGGAGTTATTTCAAACATTTTGTGACTGGTATGGAGTACACATTTAATGAACAAACTGATATGTTGCTTAGTGCTTGGTTTCTGTAATGGCAACTGTCGTGCGAGTGTTCGGGTATACCATAAAAAAATTCAAAATTGACAGATTCCGAATCAGCAGACTTTTGTTTCTATCGAGGTGCAACTTCAAGAAACTGGCCGACGGAAACTGAACAGAAATAATGCTGGACGACTTCATAAAGCCAGAACTCCTGCTGCAGAGGAGGGAATGCTTGAAATAGTTTAAAATAATCCCGGAATTAGTACCCGACGACTGGCACCCCAAACTAGGGTTTCAAAAAGCACATCCAACAGAACAATTAGAGAACAACATATTTATCCGTTTCACATTCAAAGTTTCCAGGAACTCCTACCTCCTGATTATGAGTCTCATTTGCATTTTGTACAATTTATTCAAGAGCGCAGAGCAACCGATCCAGTTTTTCACAGAAAAATTTTGTTTACACACGAGTCATGCTTTACACGACGTGGTATACTAAATGCACATAATGAACATGTTTATGGAGATGAAAATCCACATGACATCAAAGAGAAACATTTTCAACGAGATTTTAAAATTAATGTATGGCACCTAACTTGATTGGTCCATTTTGATTACCAGATCGTCTTAACGGTGACAGTTACTTGCATTTTCTACGTCAAGACTTGCCTCAACTGTTAGAAGACTTACCGCTCAATTTACGCCACCACCTCATTTTTCCCGCTTTGTGAGAGATTATTTAAGAGAACAATATCATGGAAGATGGATTGGCAGAGGTCGGGATGCTTCTATTTAGTGACCACCTCGATCACCGGACTGTAATCCGTGTGATTATTTTATCTGGGGTCACTTGGAAACCAAAGTTTATGAAGTTCCTATCGACAACATTGAACAATTATGGGGTAGGATTCAAAATGTTGTGAACTCCATGCGAAATGATCTCTGGGCATTTGAGAAGGGTACACTTCAATTTCTTGCGCCGAATTGAAATCTGCATGAACGAAGGAGGTGGCCATATTGAACATTTATTGTAAAAAAAAATTATCCTTCTCTTTGAATTGTTATTTTTCAGTAGATACCTATGCCCATTGATGATTTTTTTTATTGTAAATACGTTAAAATCGACAGTGTTCTGGTTGCGGTAGTTATAACCACCAACTTAGTTTTTTTGAAAAGTCACTAACCATCAGTCCATACATTTTTTTTTACAAAAATACCATGAGAGATACATGTTTTTTGCAGAAAAAAAAATACTCCAAATGAATACAGCTCTTCATAAAAAAAATTGAGGGAACAGTGGGGGCCCTTTAAAAAATAGGATGTCATTTATGGTAGAATTAGGGTGGTTTTTACCCTTCCATGATTTTAGATGGTGTAATTTTTGCTTTGAACAATGGCTCTTCAATTAAAATAGCTACATACCAAATTTTATAAAAATCGAATGTAGCATTTTTGAGTTATTAAAAAATTTAAAATTTTCTTTCAACTTTGAAGTTTCCTCACAGGCTAACGAAGCACTTTTTGATATAGGTAATTTTGGCTCAATCGACTTATTTTGATCTCCTCAATATACAGTAACTCTATGTACACGGAATTTTGGGACACCCTGTATAGGGTGATCGAACTGGTTATCAGACACTTAAGCAATTCTTGGCGACAATGGTACAACATTTAGTTATTTTTCTGTATACATTAATTCTACAGGGACATAAGTAATCAATGGGGTATTAAAAATAGAAAGGGAAAAGGAAAACTATGTTATGTAAATTCTTTTTAAAACTAGGTATTTAATAAAAAGTTGGAAAGGCACCTTTTGCCAGTTTTAGGACACACTGTACATAGTAAATAAATAAATCTAAATCTATCCAAGAGGGAATTTTAAGTGATAAACATGTGTCTACTTAAGTTGGAACCATATGGAAAACATTTTTATTATTGATTTTGGGAAAAAAAGTTATTCTTGATAAAAAGTCCTGCACGACCCAAAACTTAAAATACAGTCATCAGATATCAAATTTTTCAAGCCGTATACGAGGTTTGTCAAAAAATATGAATTTTGCTCAAGAGTAAAGTACGTTTATTTTTTTACAAAATCAAAAATTTTCATTAAGAAATTTGCTAAATTCTTCACAAACATCAACAAAAGGAAAGCGTATCATGTTTATAGTAGCTAACGTAATTTATAACGTTTTCAGATATTTACAATCAATGTGTAGAGTTTATAAAAAATAAGAAAATCTGTTTTTTCAGATAGATCGGTGTAATTGCATATTTGAATGTAATATTCAATTCTAATCAACTTTTCTTAATGAAAATTTTCGATTTTGTCAAAAATAAACGTACTTTACTTTTGAGCAAAATTCAATTTTTTGACAAACCTCGTATACGGCTTGAAAAATTTGATATGTGATGACTGTATTTTAGGTTTTGGGTCATGCAGGACTTTTTATCAAAAATAACTTTTTTTCCTAAAATCAATAATAAAAATGTTTTCCATATGGTTCCAACTTAAGTAGACACCTCGGTAGACACACTGTATAATAATAATAAATTAATGTTTTATTTGTTTTACAAAGCCATATACTTTTATTAAAACTAACTTATATACTTTTTAATTACGAATTCCATTAAAAACTGTATTGTCAGTATAGGCAGAAATAGTCCAAAGTGAATTGGCGCTGCTGTCGCGCACGGAGCGAATAGACTATATTCAACTTAAATACAAGTAACACATAAACACAACTACCCCCATAACCCCAGCACATTGAGCTACAGAGTAGGGAAACATTCAAAATAGGATCACTGGGCTAGCCAATAGCAGTCGGGCTTGTGGGTATCATGCTGTGGTAAAGGAGCTAGTTGTGTTTATGTGTTACTTGCATTTAAATTGAATAGAGAGTACATAATAATATGTCAAGAAGAATATATATTGACAGGGAAGTTTAGAAGACAAAAACAAAGAACGAGTTAAAAACAAATTTTAGGTCTGAAAGAGTTGAGAGGAATGCATCAGATATTCAATTTATTCACATTTATAAAAAAAATCCAGGTGAACACTTTTGATTGGAAAGGCGATTTTTTACCAAATAAATATATAGGTACTTACCTAAAGCTTCTATGATTTTGGGAATCAAATTTAAAGACATATAGTAAGGTCTAACACTATTCTCCAGAAAAATTACTTTCAAAAACCTGCTACAAACAGATAAATCAAATTCTTGCTCCAAGTCATTTTTTAGCTTTTGACCAATCATAAGCATTGGTTCTTCTTCAATATTCATTCCTATCCGTTGTAAATATAGAAACACGAAGCTTAAATAATTAGTGTTGAAATTTTCTATACTACTCATTATTGTACTAATCAAGCCATCAAATTCTTTGGAATTTTTTAACTGATTTAAAAACTCAAAAGATGGATTAATTCTTTTACTATTAACTTTACAAAATTTGATTTGTATATCTTTTAAAACTAATACACTTTGTGTTAATTGTTCATCGTTCAAGTTATTTTTATGTGCATTTAAAGTATTCCAAACATCTTCCATATTATTACAACCATTTAATTCATTTATCACATTATCTTTTGAATCTTTAAATAATATATATTTTGTTTGCTCCATTATATCGAGGGCGTCTGTTTCAATTAATGAGTAATCTTCAAGTTCTTCATCATTTTCAGTTGAATATTTCCCGATATTATGATGGTTCAGAGGTATTTTTGGTACATGACTTTGTATATTTGTAAGTCTGACTGATGCCGTATTCGTAAAATTGCTAAAATATTTCCTAAAATTAGATTTATTTTGTAAACTTCGAATTATTCGAAAGATTCTCATAATTAAAAATTTACAATTTTTTAAAACTTAAAAATTAGGTTATATTCAGTGTTGTTCCTAGGGATAGGGATTTTTGAATTGTACAACCACAGAACAATTACTTTTAGAATGGAAACTGCAATGTTAAAATTTGAGACAGTTTTGTAACACCCGGTGTGCGTTCTTTGAACTATTTGGCGGAAGTGGCGCCATCTCGCGGTCATTTTAGTTAACACAAAACGCGGGAACATTCAAAATGGTCCTTCAATATTTAGTTTAAAAGTGGTAGTCAAATTAAGATTTGTTCATACCAACTCCTTTTTTACGTTTATTGTAGCAATAAAATTATATTTGTTACAATAAAGCAAAAAATGAGTAGTATGAACCAATCCTAACTTGACTACAAGTTGAAATATTTTTACAAAAAATTAAAAAGCATGATCAACAAAATTAATTTATTAAAACAAAAAAAACATACAAAATAGAATAATTAAATGTAGCGTATTAATTAGCTGGAAAGTTAAGTCATTGTCCACAGAGGTCGAAGAGTTTTATCTAAAACAAAAAATAAATATAAATCAACTTATAAATCAAGACGGGTACAGGAAGAAAAAAGGAGCTAAGCCACATTTTTATCAAAATTGAACTGGCCCGCCCTATTTTGTAAAATACCAGTATTAGCAAATGCAAAACAGTGCATTTAAAATTATGTCCAAGGACTTTCCTACTGTTTGTTTGTCATTTTTAGTATTTAGAATAAAAAATTACAACTGTCTGGTAAATTAAGTGGTAAACTACAATATAATCAGGCAACATTTAAACAAAGTAACATCTTTTTGTAATCAATTACCTTAAAGTATCAAAAGTTTGTATTTAATCAGTCTAAATTAAATTTGGTTTTCTGAACATTTTGGTAATTGTGACTAGGCCCCTTTTTTTCCTGAACCCTTCAAATCTGTTGGGGAGCACAGAAAGTGAGGCATAAATAAAAAAAGGTATACTGACCATTACTTCCCGGACTATGCTATTTTGTCTTCCACAATCCAATATTGCCATTCCAAACGGATTGAAGAAAGTTTGTACTAGAACAAATACAAAAACAGTAAAAGAAACAATCTGAACTAAATCAATATAAAAATCAAATGTGAGGCATGAATACAAAAAGTACAGTGACTATTACTTCCCTGACTAGGCTGTTTTTGTCTTCAACAATGCAATACTACTGCCACTCCAAACGGCTTGAAAAAGTTTGTACTAGAACAAATAAAAATACAGTTAGATCGCTGCGTGCACCAAGAACTTTAAACATATCTTCAAAATGTTTATCACATACTAAATAGTTTTTACAAATTTGTTGTTTTATTCTTGAAAAATGGACTGCGAACACCCAATACTCAAATTTGAAATAAATCGTTATTAGGATTTCAGAGTGTTTACAAAACAATTTGGCATACAACAATACGATATATTACAGCTTTTATAACTAAAAATGACCACAAACATTTAAAATAAGCTCAATCGTCAGCAAGATCAAGTAAACAAATTGAACATTTAAAACACAATTGAACAAGACCAAGTTGACAATACAATAAACAATTATTTACAAAATACTTACTATTTATTCATCCAGGATCCAGAGCACACCCAAATACAAACAAATAATAATTATTGACAATATGATATTGATAATCACAAAAAATACAGGTAAAATGGCAAATGTCATTCACCGCGAGGTAATCGATAATGGATGCCTGACAATTGACAATGACAAATGACACTCCCACTCTTTCCACCATCAATTGTAGATTTCTGTAAATTGTTGTGTACAGCGCCATCTAGAATCTGTTCCTTGAAACAAAAATATAGTTTCAGCTCGGGCTATACCAGTTACCGATACCTGTGTACAACTTTCAGTGTCAAAATTGTACACTTTTACCTTCGATTGTACAACCACTAATTAATCTTCTTCTTTTTTATTGTCATACTATGGCCTACTACTTTCCCATGCTTAAAATTCTTCTTTTTTCCAGTTTAAAATATATTTTCGATGTAAAACGGTGTACTGATTGGTCGCGAATAGCGCCAAATTTAAACTCTTATTTTTTTTTATTAATTTTAATGCATGCTATTTAACAAATCGTAGACTTTTAAGCAAAGAAAACCTTTTATATACCCGATTTTAAATAAATATTTAGCAATTTCAAATTGTACAACATTTCTGTCTTTTTTCAAAAGTGCGTACAACAGTACAACCGCATAACTGATTGTACAACTTTTTGTACAATTGTACAACCAGGAACAACACTGGTTATATTATTTCTTCCACGTTTCCTTCTTCACTTCTTCGTTTTTTGCCTCTTCCATTACCTGAGTAGGGTCGGTATTTATAAAGGCCCTTGTCGATGCCTTTTCTTATTTCTATTTACAACTTATACAAACTCATGGCTGCGTTCATCCGCGCCACATGCTACCTGATCGATCTGGTAGCGCTCTCGAGTGGCACGTATGAACGGTGTATTTTGACATTTCGCTCAAGGAGCGGCCGCCATTAAAAGTAGCGCATTTTATTTACGTCTGATCGGTGATCACTGATCTGTCTTACGCACTTACGTCCACGGTTTGCTTGGTGACTAGTAGGGTTATATTAGCATATTAGCAATTGAAAAATAAACAAACAAATCTTCAACCAGAGACATTCAACTCAAAAGTAAAATGAATAAACCAAAATCAAATGTCACTTTTAAACATGGTTCATTCGTGCATAAAGATCGATCAGGTAGCGTAAGTGATCGCTACTTTTGTAGCGCTCCTTGAAATGGCGCGGATGAACGCAGCCAATGTTTACCATTTGTATCAGTTATCACTAAAGTAATAAAATACAAACAATCACTTATAAACTACAAAAATAAGCTAGAAATTATGGAGGGTAGAAAAAAGGAGGACACTCTTATATGGATCTGTATAGGTCTTTTCCTTTGCATCGAAAGTGTAGCACGTAGCACTGGGCTACACCAATAGAGGACTTCTATACAAGGGAAGGGCAACCAACTTGACAAAATAAAATTGACACTAATGACATAAGAAATCGGGTCACATAAAGAGACTGTTTTTTAGTTTGATTTTTGGTTTTTCCTATCTACTTTCATGCCATTTGCATACCTTGTTGTACCCGTAACGTGAAAAAGACTATTTAGTTTAGGGTATTTTACATTTAAAGGTTGAAATATTTTGTCATTGTCAGCTGTCAATTATGTTGATGATAGAACACAGGCGTAACCATAGATGGGCATAAGTAACTAGAGTATTGTATGTTGGTTGTATATTTTATAGAACTTTTATTCGTAGCAGCAGCATTTTGCAATCGACATAAATAAATAAAACCAAATGAAAAATAATGTTTCGAGAAAGCAGGAGAAACACAATTAGACTAATAACAACAAAAAATAAAATGCAATGCTACGCTTATGTTTTGACATTATCGACAGCTGATATTGACAAATGTTTTCAACCTTTAAATGTAAAATACCCTAAAATAAAAAGTCTTTTTCACGTTACGGGTACAACAAGATATGCAAATGCCATGAAAGTAGATAGGAAAAACCAAAAATCAAACTAAAAAACAGCCTCTTTATGTGACCCGATTTCTTATGTCATTAGTGTCAATTTTATTTTGTCAAGTTGGTTGCACTTCCCTTGTATAGAAGTCCTCTATTCTGAAAATATCGTTCCATATATACAAATTGTATGGATAGAACCAGGGATCCGGACCGAACCGTTATTAACCGAAAACCGGACCGGAACCGAAATGTTTTAGATGGACCGGAACCGAACCGAACCGATAATATATTAAAAATATTTTTTATGGACCGGACGGCTATATCAAGCTAGCGGGCACTCTGTGGCGGCACCATTCAAGACCTGGCGGGTTTTTTTGTAGCTTTTTTGTTACGCTATTTGCGAATTTGTAGCTTTGCCCTGGGGGTCGATTCTCGACTCGTAGGAATATTTTCCTATAGGAATTTTTGACATTTTTATATACATCGAAAATTTATGACAGTTTCCTACATATAGGAAAGTGTCACAAATTCCTATAGGAAAAGGTCGAGAATTGACCCCCAGGTCCGAAAAAACAGCGGATCCGCTAGCTTGAATTTCCATAAATTCTATAGTAGCGGCACAGATTCAGACCCAGCTGGTTTTTCGTAACTTTTTTGTTACGCTAGTCTCCCTTTTGTAGCTAGCTTAGCGGATATTTGTAGCGGCACCAGCCCGGACCCGCCTCATTTTTTGTAGCTTTTTTGTTACGCCTGTCTCGATTTCGTTGCGAGGCCTGAACGTGAGTAATAATCGTTTCTCCATGAGCGTGAGAGAAAAGTGCGTTAATTTAAAATCAAGTTTCGGCCTCTACAAGTAATATGTGCAACTCGATAGTGTGACTATCTGTTGTTAGATAATAATAATAATAATAATAATAATAATAATAATAATAATAATAATAATAATAACGGGTCTTTATTTGCACAAAATAATTACATTTTTGTACAGTTAGCATGGGCGAGGTTTAGCCTGTGGCTATTCTTACACCTAACCCTAACAAAACATATACATTTAAATAACTATAATATTAAAAGTTTATCAATACAATTTGACATTAGTAGCTCATTATATCTACCAGTTTACATTTGACTAATAAAGAGTTGCCTTTTTAAAGCATTTTTAAAAACAGGTAGAGATCGTGATTTTTTAATATCAGTATGTAAAGTGTTGTACAGAACAACTGCGTTATACGAAAAACTACGATTATAAATAGCACTAGAGTGACGAGGCATTGATAAATTAAAATTGTTTCTTATGTTTACATTGTGCGTAGACGATCTAAAAGTTAATTTGCTCATAAGCGATATAATGGTGACGCAGTAGAAAGAATTTTAAAAAGAAAAGAAAGGAACATAAATATATATAAATTATTAACAGTTAGCCAGCCAGTTTGGGAGAAGGCTTGGGAAATATGATCGAATTTTCTAAGTCCTTTTGCGAATCTGCAGCATGTATTCTGCATAATTTGCAAACGGTTACGATCAGCAGCTGTTAAACAAGGATAATACACAACAATTCCATATAATATTTTTGAAATTACAAGGCTTTGGCAAAGTTTTAGTTTTATAGATTGGTTCTGTAGGATGTGTTTATTAGAATAAAGCAAGCGAAGACCACTATAACACTTTTGTAACACATAGTTGACATGTTGACTGAACCTCATTTGATCGTCAAAGTATAACCCTAAATTTATAGATGGCACCAGTATTGCATTTCACGAATTATGGCCATCTTCAATCAAATATATTTTTGAGAAATTTAGATATAATCTAAAAATCGGACATTTTTAACGGTATGTATATTAATTATTTGTCTGATATTAATATAAAATACATATTGACAAGATTATTAAAATAGTTGTATGTCGGACGCCACTATTTTCCCGATCGGGTGTTTTCGGTTATTTTTACTGCTAAAAACTTACTGCTAACTTCACACCGGTGGTAATAGCTACCGAGCAATTACCTATTCTCACTATATAAAGGGTGTTCCATCTCAGACGAGCCACCCCGTATAGTTCTTATCCCATAGTAATTGGAAAACTTTCCCGAAACACGTCTGATGATTTTCTTTGGGGGACATCTTTTGACGTATATTTGAGGCTTGAACGAGCAACCCCCTATAAGGGGGCGCTTCAACCCCTCAAAATTATATAGGGTAGAGGGGTTGGGTGATACTTCATTTGTAAGGTCCTGGAAGCCTCTTTACAACGGTGTATGAAAAAAAATCACATTCTAAAAAAATCAATTGTTTTATCATGCTTACAATTAAAAAAATCAAAACTGCTTTTTTAAATGAAATGTTCAATTTGTCTTCCATATTGACTTCCATGCAATAATAAATTCTCTCGAACTAATAAATAAAAAAAAATCAAAACATTTTCTTATCTTGCCTTTATTTTTTGTTCTTAGAAGGTGTTTATCACGTTTCTTCGATCATTTCATGTGATAAAACAATAAAAAAAAATTAAGAATGTGATATTTTTCATAGACCGTTGTAAAGAGGCTTTCAAGACCTTACAAATGATGTATCACTCAACCCTTCTTCCCTATTCCATTTTAAGGGGTTGAAGCGCCCCCTCATAGGGTGTTGCTGGTTCAAGCCTCAAATATACGTCAAAAGATGTCCCCCAAAGAAAATCATCCGACGTGTTTAGGGAAATTTTTCCAATTACTATGAGATAAGAAATATACGGGGTGGCTCGTCTGAGATGGAACACACTGTATAGTTGTGATCCGACAGAATCATAGGACAGAATTAAACACTGGTCCATAAATACTGCAAAACGATTGGTTAAGGAAATCATTCAAAAAAGATGTAAGAATATTCTTGATTCAACAAAAGTATAAATACATAAACAACACTAAAAAACTTTTAAAAACAAAGGTCCGATTTTGAGATTATATCTAAATTTCTCAAAAATATATTGGATTGAAGATGGCCATAATTCGTGAAATTCAATACTTGTGCCATCTATCAACAGATAGTCACACATCGAGTTGCACATATTACTTGTAGAGGCCGAAACTTGATTTTAAATTACCCTGTTGAAAACGTCCAATAGATTCCATTAGAAAAAAAAACTTATCGGTATCTATTCATTGCGTTCGGTTTGCCACGTTCCTTTAACTCCTTTAACACTTTTAACTCCAAACGACTCTTTTAGTGTTCGGTTTAGTCCGATTAGTGACAGTTTAACACGCTTAAATGTCATTTAAAAGCACCCTAAAATTTGTCCCGCTCCAGCCCCTGACTGACCGAACTCGCCTATTAGGCATTCCAAACTGAATGGCTACCAGTGGGTTTTGACGGGGTATGATATGGCA